GATAAATGAAGATGAAATCAACAAAGCATATAAAGCAACTCGGAAAGAAAAGAAGTTGATTCAAATTCTGCATAGTAAAAATTTTGTGGAGTTAACAGATTACAAACTGATTAAGGCTTCCATTATATGTATGTCTAACAGCACAGGGATAAATCAAGATACCTTTTGGCAGAATTCCTTTAAATCTTTTGCTTTATCAAAAAGCTCTTCCTAGAAGTTACAAGGGGCCAACTTTAGGGTCACTTCACATCTTTCAGCACAAAAGCAAAATCTAACTCAGTACTAAACAAAATTACCTGGACATTTAATGTGCTATAACCCTGTATCCATGTGTACTAGCGCCCATGATTCTGCTAACATAGAATAACTTACGGGTAAGTGGGAGTATTTATGGGGAAAAATTCAAATAAAAGCTATTTCCTTTGCTAAGGGCCCTAAAAAGGCCAACAATCAACAGGCATCCAAAACCAACGCTTTACTCCACGTGCAGCATTTTTCAGCGATATGAAGAATTCAACTTAAAAAAGAATATTTACTCTTATATTTTTTAATTTCAGTATCTAAATTACTCATCCTTGACTGACAAACTTAAAATTACATTATGGTCACATTGAAGTTATAAAGGTAGAGAAAAAAATTATATTCCAAGCTTGACAAACGTATTAAATGTACTGAAAGTACAAGGCAGGAAAAGGCTATTTGGCATCCTCACTTTTTAAATGCTTTCAAAAAGCCTTTCACTCATGTAATTTCAAATAAATAACAAGGACAGCAAGACCAAATGTAGGCAAATACTCAACTTGTACTGCTCTTTAGCATCAATTAATTATTTTTTAATTTCCCAAACATCCATGTATGCTCAGGACATTAAGTATCTATTAGATGGAAAAATGTTCCTTCTCTCTTCCATCACCTGGCTAAGACGCCTGTGGAGACCACGCTCAGGAACCTCACATTAATAAATTATCACTCCTACCATACTGATTAGCAATCACTTCCTTACCCTCACACCTCAGCAATTCCAATGAGAGCACAACAACGCTGTTCTTAAAAGGCAATGGCCAGCGGAGTCCAGACACACAACTGTCTGAACAGTGGCTAGAAAAACAAGGCTTCTTAAATGGCAGGTGGATGCTCTCTACTCTGCTCCCAATGCACTTTGTAAAAGTCTGTATTACAGCCCTTTCCATACTACATGGCAATTATCCATTTATATGCCTGGCTCTGATGCTGTTCTCTGAGCTCCTTGCTGCGTCAAGGGTGGAGTTATGCCTGGTTTAGCTTTGCATCTCCCATAACAAGCACTTAGCAGGAATATAGTTTAAAAAAAAAAAAAAAAAAAACAGTTGTCATCAAGTCAATTTGACTCTCAAGAGTAGAACTGCCCCATATGGTTTCTAAGGAGCAACCGGTGGATTTGAACTGCCGACCCTTTGGTTAGCAGCCGAGCTCTTAAACATAGCGCCACTAGGGCTCCAGGAACCTAGTAGGTCCTCAGTAAATATTAAGTTTATGAATTACTTAAGAAACCTACCTAAGTAGCTTTGGAACAGACCACATTCAGAGTATATTTGAACCTAGATGTAGATTCATGACTAACAGTTCTGTCACTGTATCACATATGGATCCCCTAACTTGAGGAAATTTTGGCCAGATTTACAATGGCATATATGGTTAAAACCAGAAAATATGTCTAAATGGGATGCTTTTGGATATCTTAATAATCTTGTTTTCCCCCAATACAGGTACCATGTCAACCCCATGCTACTGATATTCTGCTACAGAACACTTTACATCTTACAAGGACTATAACTGAGTAGTTACCATCTCCTACTATCAGTGAGCTAGTACAGAAAGCCTGCCTTATGAAAACATAACCATTAGTTGGAACTGGAATCTCAGTTGACCATTTTAAATCCTAGAGGCCAAAGAACATTGAAACTACACACTTACTACATATTTTTTCTACAGTTCAAGACTGCTTTACTACCCCCGGTAAAACAAGTTATTTTACTTTTAAGTAGCTAAGACAAAGTGAATTTGGAGTTTGTTTTCATATTATACCTCATATTGTATTATCTGCCCTTGTGAAAATGCTTCATAAAAAAAAAATGCTAACTATACACTAAAACACAAACCCAAACTCACTGGCATCAAGTCGATTCCAACTCACAATGACCCTATAGGACAGAGTAGAACTGCCCAAGGTTTCCAAGGCTGTAAATCTTTACCAAAGCAGATGGCCACATCTTTCTCCTGTAGAGGCTAGCAGGTTTTAACTGCCGACTTTTTGGTTAGCTGGTGAGCACTTAACCACTGCGCCACCAGGGCTCCTAACCTTATACACTAAATGCTCCCTTTTATATCACTACCCATTAGACATGAAGCTTATTATTTTCTGCTACTGACTAGCTAAATTCATGCTATGGCAGTTATTTTACAAAACAGGTAATGTGTCAAGGAATTAACTTTTGGACTAATAATAAAGCTCTGATGTAATCATCAGGACCATGCCGATATCATGAACCACTTCCTTTACTACTGACAAATAAATGATAAACACATGTGGGGAATGCTTTTGCATTACACAGTAAAATAAAATATATTGCCTATTAGAAATTACCAATGCCTTTATATTACTGTGTGATAGAGTAGAAATAAACATACAGAACTGTTTCACAGTAATTTATGGGATTTCCCTCCACAAAGCCTATGGACAGATGCATTCACAAATGAACACAATTTTCATCTCTGACAAATAATGAAGACAAATATGAAAAGCCACAGCAATGCGCCTTTGCCAACACCGCACCCATATTCCACTAAGTGGAGACTTCAGATAACAGATTATCTTGTGAGTCGAGTTTCTCAAGTAGAGAGGCTAAACCCAAACCCGCAAAAGGGGTTAGTAAAATAAACAATGGCAGATGCTTAACTATCGACTAACCATCTATTTTACCACAACTCATGGTTAAATAATTAAAAGTGCATAAAATTTATGTTAACAATCCATTATAGACCAAAATTATGCACACCATCCATTTTATAATGTTTCCAAAGTGATGACTTTATAGTTACTACATCTGACCACTTCCTTATATAAATCTTTTCTGATTTGATGTTCTAACCAATACTCACAAATGTACAAGTGTTGACTACTCAAAGAAGGGGATGGAGAGGGAGGGGCAGCTCTCTTTGTGGAATCCGATCCATTAGTTAGTTGCCCATTAATATAACAGATTGGAGTCCTGGTGGCGCAGTGGCTAAGAGCTTGGCTGCTAGCCAAAAGGTTGGCAGTTCAAATCCACTAGGCGCTCCTTGGAAACCCTGTGGGGCAGTTCTATTCTGTCCTATAGGGTCACTATGAGTCGGAATCGACTAGTAAGCAACAGGATTTTTGGAATATAACAGGTAAGTACACAGAAACCTTGAATTCCTTCTCTTACCCCCAAGTAAGATTAAGACAAAAAGGGTAACCTTCAACTGCATAATCTTTGGAAAAGCAAAGAGAGTTAGCATTGTGCCTGCCAAGTAGATTCACTCCGCCAAAGTGCATACTTCTCATTCTTAAATACCCAATGCTAAAATCAAAACCTTACCCCAAGCAGAAAGTTTCAATGTTCTGACACCATGACATCATTTTGTCTGGAGCACTTTAATACAACAATTTGAATAAACTGGAAGACGCTTAAATAGGTCACACTGAAGCCGAAAACGAAGGATATTTCTCTGGCAAAAATATTCTGGCCCTGCATATACCACCACAGGCCACAGAATGACAGGCTTACCATCCATCTATCCGTCTGCACTTTCTACACAAATATATGAAAATAAAGTTAATCTTGTCACCTTCCTGTAGTACTAATCCTACTGACAGCAGTTGTTTGTGGCCAGTATCTGCACACTGCTGCAAGCCAAAGCAAAGGTGAATGCCACCATAGGACTTCATGGAGGATTTAGCGCATCCTTACAAAGGAATCGGGGGCGGGGGGACCTCCGTTTCTGTCGTTATAAAGATATGAAAATCCTCAACTAAATTTGTAATAAGCCCTAAAAATCTACGAAGTAAAGCCACGAGATGCTATGAACGCTTATCAATATGTAGAGGACAGCTTTACGGCTTCAAAAACAAGAGCTGTTCACCTGGCAAAGCAGCAAGCCACATCTCCATCATATTTATTGCACATTCCTACTTAGTAAGACAGGACACTGACAGTTGCAGTTTTCTGAGCAGATCCCTGTAAAGTATTCAGGTTGCCTTTTGAACTGGAGTTCTCTGGACACTAACATCTAGCTTCATTTCTTCTCATGAAATTTTAGTTCATCTGAAGTCAATATGCAGAAACCACAGAGGTTTCTGGTAGTCTCAGTCCCACCACCCCAACATAAATTTTCCTTTCGCAATAAACAATGTGAATCAAAAAGGTTTCCTGTTTGAAAATGGAATCATAGATGAAAGCAACTGTAACTCTACCATTAAAACAAGAGAAAAGTTTCTTAATGAAGATGAACTCTCAAATATCAAAATGGAAACTATTTCTCTTAAGTGTTTGTTTCCTTACTTAAGGGCTAATTGGATTTTTTCTCAATATTCTCAGCAGCACACATGTGGCTGTCAGGAGCGTTCTCTCAGAGATTTTTCTTAAATTACTTGTTTGCACTCTGTTATCTTAGAGCAACACAACTTCACATGAGACACAATAAACACTTGCAAACACCATACACCAGCAAAAGCAGCCAACACTAAAAGCTTTGCATATCTGAGTCATATAGAGGAACTCTGAACCTTGAAGAGCAGGACAAAAGTTAAAAAAAAAAAGTCTCTGTTCTGAATCTAACTTTCCAAAACTCAGAGAATGAATGTAAGGAAAACAGTCACCCAAAATCAAAAGACTGTTGCCATAATGATAACTACTTGAAATTAGGAGTATAAATAAATCTGGAAAAACCATACCCAGGATGAACAGGACCAAGTACAGGCACAGTCAGGCAAAACTCACCACTTTGTCCATGAGTTTCCAAGTTTTCTCCACAGTCCTGCGATCTGCTGCTGCTTGCTTAGGAGGTCCAACTGCATCCTGAATAGCATCAATAATACCCAAAATTCGACCCTTCCGGGGGTTTCCTCCTCGACCACCAGGGTTTCTGCCATTCATAGAATTTGCCATCTGGAATCTTAGTTCTTTGAACGACAAAGGAAAAACAAAAAAAAAAAGTTAGTTTGTCATGAAAATATTTACCCCACAGAAACTGAACAGGCTTACTCATACCCATTACATCCTCCATCAATGAGAACTAAACTCAGGATTCTAAATCCAACTTTTCAATGAGAGTGTGAATTTACACTCTCAATCTTTACACACAGTGACTTTAGGGGCAGTGACCCTAACCTTTGCTTTTAGAATGTTAACAAAGATGTAGCCTCCCACATTTCAAGTAGCAAAGGCTTAATTCCCAATTAATAACAAGAAATCAAGTTAAATAGGTCTCCTCCAACTAGATAAAAACACACAGCGTTCTCCCCCTCCCTGCCTTAATCCCAGTTCAAAATCTTAGAACAACTGAAGCCCGCAGTAAATACCTTGGGAGCCTCATTAAGAAACCTCCCTTTCCTTCTGTTAGTTTTCGCCAAGTTACAGAAACGTAAAGATCACTCCACACAAGAGGAAGGGGCACCTCTGTTGTCAACAAAGGCGGAGGAGCTGGATTTTCCCGGCTAAAATCGGCAAGCACGGACACACACATAGTTCTTTGAACTGACGCGGTGAGTAGGTACCCCCAGATTAAGAACCAAGTAAACCAACAAACACCACACCATTTTAAAAGAGTGAGAACGCACAAGCGAGGACGCGGAATAGAGAGCGCACGTCTTTCGCTCCCAGCTCTCTTCTCGCCCACGGGGGTGGCGCGGAGGAGGGGAGGTGCAGAGCTTTATTCGGGACGCCCGGGCCCCCTCCCTGCACAGCCCCTCCGATGCCACCCCGGGCCTCGCTGAGGGGAGGACAGTGGGCACCGGAGAACGAAGCGCCCTCGCGCCTCGAGCGCCCGCAGGCGGTCCACGCTCCGCACTCGGCCGGAAGCGCACTCCCGAGTCGCCAGTGATCCCAGCCCTCCGGCTCCCTCTCCTCCGGCTCCCCTCCAGGGCCCTGTTCGGTTCCGGATGTTAAATACCCCTCTGCAAACTGTGCCTGCGGCCGCGACAGCAGCTGGGAGCCCTGGCTGTCCCTCTGTCTCCGTAGCCCTCTCCTGGCTGCCCCGGCCCGGCCGGAAAGCAGCGCCAACCTCTCCGACGCCCCTACCCTCCTCGCCGTCTGTGTCCAGGGACACAAGAGTGCGCGGTCCAGCCCCACGCGCACGCAGCCCAGGGAGCGTGGGCAGCGCGAGCCGGGAGTGTGGACTCACCGTACTGTCACCGTCCCCGGGAAGGAGCAGCCCGGAGCACGGGCCACCGAAACGTGGAGACTCAACAACTACTGTCCAGACCAACCTACAGCCGTTCTCCGCTCCCGAAGACTCTCCCGGAGGCTACGAGACGCCGCGCAGCCCCAGCGGAGAAGGAGACCATTCGCTGGACACCCCACCCGTAACACAAACTGAGACCCAGCCGCGGGGCGGGGCCGGGGCGGGGCCTCGCGCAGCTGGGCCAATTCCGGGCGCCCGCAGGCTGCCCGACAGCGGGCGGCGCCAATGGGCGTGAGGCGCCCGCCTACTCGCACTACCGCCCCCTCCACGTCTTCCACCGTACACAATGGCCCCAAAGGAAGGCCCGCTCGCCGCTCGTCCCAAATGAAAAGGAACTCGGAGGGAAATGGCGGGGCCTGCACTCGCCCTGGAATGAAAGTGCAAAAGGGAAAGGAAGTGAAAGATGGGATGCAAGGCACTAGGGAACTCACCAATAATAGGTGTGCAGGTGGGCGTGAACGCCGGGAGGGGGAGCCGAAGGGACTGGGGCTAAAAGGCGGGACTTCCTGCCTCGCTCACCTACCTTCCTAGTCTTTTGTCTCATAGCAACAGAGTAGTGGCTGGGAGGGTGTTGCTTCTCTAGTCTGGGCGGGTCCGAGACTGAAGAAATTTATCTCCCTAGGGCTGCCAAAGTCTTCTATCCAGGACAGCTGCCAAACGTGACTAAGATATTGCTTCTTGTTGACTATAAAGGAAGGGCAAGTCACCAAGTTCCTAAAATGAAGTGTAATTCTCACTTAGAATAGGACTGAGGTAATAGCCAATTGCCAACCAAAACTTCCTAAATTACGGACTATTGTTTCTCTTTTACCGTTAGTTCCTAGAGGGATTGCAAATAGATTGACAATACTAGCTAAATATCCTCTGCTGATTATGCGTGCAGATTATAAGAAGCCCCCACGGTGGGAAAACCAAAATCCAAGCAATTTCTGGTAGACTCGTTGCACCTTTTTGTTTAGTACAGGTTTCTGCATAAATTGACAGAAGAGAAAACAGCTTTTGTATTTCGTCTGAGTCGCCTTTGCTCTACATGGATTTTTTTCAATTTTAATAAAAACAACCTTATTACATCTGCCATTCTCTCCCAGCATTTTCCATCTTTCTGTGGCTCCATCCTTTCCCTACTTGAAAAGCTCACATCGGGCTAGTCTTAAAAGGAAATAGCTACAGTGCTGGGACCCTTCTTTCAACGAGATTACAGATTAAACAAATATCTTTCTGTTTATCTTCTACCCTACCACACATGCTACTAACAGTTCCTTCTAGACTGTCTAGGGAACTTACTTTACAATTAATAGTGTTGAATACACTTTACAACTTGGACTTCTCAGATATTGTGATGTTTTGTTTTGTTTTTTATTATCTCTACCATTTCTCAAACCAGTTAACTTGATTAAATGTTTCTCAATTGTGCTAACCACTTTGAAACTAAATAAGTACTTTAATACTGTGATTATTTCTGTGAAGGTTCCTGACTTACTATAAACATGCTTTACAACCCTAAATTTAGATAAGATTTTCATTCTATGAAAAACAAAAAATGTGCTCTTTCCAACTACTCAGAAGATAAAATGTGGTTGTGGAAGTAATTCTGCTTTTTTTCTTTGTCATTATTTCTATGCCAATATTTATAGATTAGTTCCTTGTTTTCACTTTGTGTTTATCTGCAAAAGTGTTCAGCTTCTCAATATGTCCTACATCCATCCATATCTCCTTTACTAATAGAAATAGCACCTACATCTACTAAGGGGAGAGTACAAAAGAGAAAAACTTACTGGGTCACCTTTAAAGTAAGTCTAAAAAGAGGAAAAAGTATGTACAGAAGATTTTCAGGGCATAGCAAGACAGTGCCTTAAGGTAACATTATAACTAAATATATGACTCATACTCATATCTGGATGAATGAAGAATAATTAAAATACATGTTATAACATATGTCATTCCTTTTATGTTACGTTATGCACCTTCAAGAGATGACAATGGGAAAATGACACTGCCTATGGTATCAAGCATATCATGTTGATGGAAATGACAGTTTTTGTGGTATGTGGTTATTATACATATATGCACATGTATATAATACATGTGTGTATGTACACACGTACATGTACATGTTTGTCGATGTTAAGTGTCCTTGAGTTGGTGCCAACTCATAGCAACCCTATGTACAACAGAACAACACTGCTCAGTCCTGCGCCATCTCACAATTATTGCTATGTTTGAGCCCATTGTTTTGGCCACTGTGTCAGTCCATCTCGTTGAAGGTCTTTCTATTTTTCACTGACCCTCTGCTTTACCAAGCAGGATGTCCTTCTGCAGGAACTGGTCCCTCCTGATAACATGTCCAAAGTACATGAGACAAAGTCTTTTCATCCTTACTTCTAAGGAGCATTCTGGCTTTACTTCTTCCAAGACAGATTTGTTCATTCTTCTTACAGTCCATAGTATAGTCAATATTCTTCACCAACACCATAATTGAAATGAATCAATTCTTCTTTGGTCTTCCTTATTCATTGTCCAGCTTTTGCACGCGTATGAGGTGATTGAAAACACCTTGGCTTGTGTCAGGCGCACCTTAGTGTAACATCTTCGCTGTTTAACACTTTAAAGAGGTCTTTTTCCACAGATTTGCCCAATGCAATATGTCCTTTCACTTCTTGACTGCTTCTTCCATAAGTGTTGGTTATGGCTCCAAGCGTAATGAAATTCTTGACAACTTCAATATTTTCTCTGTTTATCATGATGATGTTTATTGGACCAGTTGTGAGAATTTTTGTTTTCTTTATGTTGAGGTATAATCCATACTGAGGGCTGTGGTCTTTGATTTTCATCAGTAAATGCTTCAAGTCCTCTTCACTTTCAGCAAGCAAGGTTGTGTCATCTGCATATCGCGGGTTGTTAATGAGTCTTTCTCCAATCCTGATGCCCCATTTTTCTTCATATTATTTGCTCAGCATACAGATTGAATAAGGATGGTGAAAAGATACAACCCTGATGCACACCTTTCCTGATTTTAAACCACACAATACCCCCTTGTTCTCTTAGAAAAACTGCCTGTTGGTCTAAGTACAGGTTCCTCATGAGCACAATTAAATGTTCTGGAATTCCCATTCTTTGAAATATTATTCATAATTTGTTATGATCCACAGTGTCAAATGCCTTTGCATATTCAATAAAACACAGGTAAACATCTTTCTGGTATTCTCTGTTTTCCGCCGAGATCCGTCTGACATCAGCAATGATATCCCTCATTCTAAGTCCTCTCTGAATCCGGCCTGAATTTCTGATAGTTCCCTGTCAATGTACTGCTGCAACCATTTTTGAATTATCTTCAGCAAATTTTTACTTGCATGTGATATTAATGGTATTGTTCTGTAATTGCCACATTCTGTTGGATCACCTTTCTTTGAAATGGTGATGTATATGAATCTCTTCCAGTCAGTTGGCTAGGTAACTGTCTTCCAAATTTCTTGGCATAGACAAGTGAGTACTTCCAGAATTGCATCCATTTGTTGAAACATCTCAATTGGTATTCCATCAGTTCCTGGAACCTTGTCTTTTGCCAGTGCCTCCAGCGCAGCTTGGACTTCTTCCTTCAATACCATTGGTTCTTGATTATATGCTACTTCCTGCAATGGTAGAACATTGGCAATTATTTTTGGTACAGTGACTCTGTGTATTTCTTCCATCTTCTTTTGATGCTTCCTGTATCATTCAG